GGCCGGATGTGACACACTTCTTGTTGGAAGACCTGCAAACTTCTTGAAGTTCGATGTGGAGAAGAATTCTGACCTGTTTTATAAAGATGTAAGTGAGAGAGCGACAATGCTGACCTAGGGCTCAGGTAGCCATTTATTAGACAAGAGAAAAAACATGAGGAAATTATGCAGAATTTGCCCTAGTCACATTGCCATAGATCTTCATAAAAGCACTCTTCCTGAAAAAGTTTTCTGAAAGTAGTTGTAAAGGTTGAAAAGTGTGCCCTTTCATTCACAAATCCGCTTAACAGCACCCTCCTCCTATTGAAAAGGCACCCTTTCTATCTCTTCGACCATACCATGAGTTTATTTAAGTGCAATGAACTATAATATTGAAAAAAATTAGACAACTGCTAGTAAAAAGTAAAAAAGTAAAAAGCAACTTGCTACCGTAGCCAAAAATTGTGTAGGAAAAAAAAAAGGATAGAAATGAAAACTGCATTATGTAGTAAAATGAAAAGGTCAGTTAGTACCAGATGCAGTGGTATAAACATTTACAGGTGTTGAAAGTTAATTTACATGGTGAAAGTTGCTCTCCCTGTTGATTATTTTTAGATTGCTGATGGAGGAAATGGAATTGTGACAGGTAGACTTGGATGTTTTGAGAATCCTTTGGGATAGAGGGTGGAAATTGTTCAATTGGAGGAGTTGGACTATGAAGGAAATGACAAATTCTGGACAGTAAGTATTTGCAATTGTAAATTGAACCCAACAGGTTGCTGGTCACCTTATACAGAAAGACCTGCAGGTGGTGGGGGAAGGGTGATGGGGGAAGGGATTTTATGACATCTTTTGTGGAGAAGCAGCCTCTCACAGTAATTTCTGTATTCAGATAGGAAAGATATGACCTTACTCGTGCCCTCAGAGGACTGAAAAGTAGGGAATGAATTAGGATTTTGAGGCGCGACATTTAATCAACCACTTTTCCATATTTATAAATGGAAATAAGTACCAGTCACAGAAAGTACATTGTGTCATTTTGTGTACCTTGCACGTGATTGATCTGGTTATGCAAAGTACAGCGATGAATTTCCATGCACGTCCAGCCTCTTACCCTGTGGTTTTGGTCTTCTTTTTTAGACAAGTCAGCTTGTGGTGCAAACAACTTAAATAAAATAATGCACTTGTGCAAGTAGGGGCAAGTGAGTTTGAAGAGGTATTTTTCTTGCTGGGAGTATCCCAGCACAAATGTTTTAATTATTTTTGGAAGTGAGCACATTGTGAGACAAACTACAATAGTTATTGATTATTGGGACCATAAACATTGTGCGCTGATTTAACCCTACAACTCCCAATGCTGATTTTTAATTCTCCCTTCTAACTGCTACACATTCCCTTGTAAATAAGTGATGTGAACATGGTGCTAAATCAAGATAGCCGCTTTTACCTGATAAGTTTGAATATTCTGATCCCCTGTTTGCTGAAGAATGTATTGATATTGTAGGGAGAAGTCTCATGTTAATCACTTCTGCCAGTCAAGTGGTTAAAGAATATTAAAAGTTCATTTTGCATCTTAAAAGCTAATAGCATAGTAACCTGTGTAGAAGTGTAATTGTTGTTTTTAATTTTTTGGTAGACACGTAAAAGCAGTAGCAGAATAGTAACTTTCCTCTTGTGTGTGGTGAAGAATGTATGGATGTTGTAGGGAGAATTTTTTATGTCAATCACTTCTGGGAGTTAAAGGGTTCAATGATACCAAAGCTGTATTTTGCATCCCAAAAGCTAATAGCATAGTAACCTGTGTAGAAGTGTAATTGTTGTTTTTATTTTTTGGTAGACATGTAAAAGCAGTAGCAAAAATAGTAACTTTATTTTTGTTTGTCCTTGGTTTCATCCGTAGGTGACAGGAGACATTGTGTGCTCTTTGGTAATGGGTGACTTAAACAGCCATGGATTGGCGAAGGTATTTTGTTTGCAATGTCAAATAGTCTGAGTTGTGGCTCTGAAAAATGTGAGCACTCTCTCTATGGCCCCATGATTAACGAGCCTTCTCTTTATCTTGATAGAGGCTGTAAGTTTTGTGCAGGATTAAGTTTCATATGATAATTTTACAATCATTTGACCTTTGATTTGCACAGTTACTTGTTGGTTCAGAAGACTTTGACATGAGAGTGTTTAAAGATGATGAGATGATTGTAGAGATGACTGGAACTGAGGTGGGCGCATCTAGCTCTTTTGGGGAAGGTATTTTACATCCAGGTATTAATTCATACTGAATTTTCTTTTGAAGCTTTCAGATCTGAAATGGAGGACTGCAATTGAGGCTCACATTTGAGGCATTGTGTTCAGGCTCTCAGTTCAAGCGCATCTTCCAGGCTTTTAGTTCATGTTCCGAAGTCATGGGGTGAGGAGTGGCTGCAATGGGTGCAAAATATGTTTTCACTATAACGCTGTGTAGTGTTTAGGACTCTAAGACTGAGGCCTTTTGGAAAGACGTCTTGCAGACCCTTTGGGGCACTGTCAACATTTTGGACCGCATCATTGAACATGTCGTCATCTAAAGCTGTTTGTTTAGATTCTCCACCAATATGCACCTATGAAAGTATTTAAAGCCAAATGCAAGAAATCACATGTTATTAGTGCCGAAAGTGGAGAGGCGATGTTGAAATGTGATGACTGCTGTAAGAATACCAGTATGATGATGAATCTTACTGACTAGGAGACGTGTAGGATCCTGAAACAAGATGTGAAGTCTAACCTTGACACAACTGAGGCAAAACATGTTCAAGAGGAAATTACCAGCAATTTGTCCACAAAAGCTTTACTATGCAAAATTGTTCCTTGTTGTCTCAACTCGGATCCTGAAGAGGTCGCTAATTCTTTCAAGATGTACTTTGCTTCAGTTGGTGGAACAGCTTCAACCAAAGGAAAGCAGCTACCTTTTAACCATGACTTATCCCTTTACCCCTTGACATCTCAAGAACCTCCCTTCTGTCCATTGACAGACAATAACGCTCGGCCTAGGTTCACCTTTCAAGGCATCTCAGCTGACACATTGTTGGACATCATCACTGGAATGCCCAACAATAAAGCCCCTGGTTGTGGTAAAATCGGTGTTAATGTTATCAAATGTGTCCTGCCGCATATCCTGCATGTAATTACCGAGATATTTAACCATTTTCTCACACCTGGTTGCTTTCCAAAGGACTGGAAAATAGCAGAGGTGGCGTCTCACCCTAAACATGGTGATCATGAAGAGTCAGTAACATCCACCTCACGTCACTGTTGCCAGTCTTATCTGAGGTCTGGGAACTCGTTGTCCACGACCAGTTTGTCTGCTGTTTGACCTTAAACAAGAGGATGACCATCCACCAAAGTGGCAATAAATAGCATCATTCCACTAAAACACTCGGTCTCCTTTTTACCAGTCACCTGTTAAGTGCAGTTGACGAAAGAAAAGGTGACTGGCATCTCTATGCTTGACCTAAGTAAAACATTTGATGGTACTCAACATAAGATCCTGTTGGCCAAGCTCAATACCCTCGATGTTTCCCCAGAGGCCTTATCCTGGTTTGAAAGCTACCACACAGATAGACAGCAGTTTGTGCAAATAAATAGTTCCAGATCTAACCCATTAACGTTCAGTCATGGTGTCACCCAGGGTTCAATTGTGGGGACCCTTGCTATTTGATCTCTACACAAACGATTTGCAATCTGTCTGAAGCACCTGAAATGTGGAATCCAAAGTAGATGACTCCAAGCTCTAACTCTCCTTTGCAAGTAAAGACACATTAGCTGGAGTTACAGACCTCAAGTCAAATCTTGTGTGGGTTGCTTCCCAGTGCTTTACCAACGGGTTATTTATCAATCCCAGTAAAACCAAGTTCTGCGTCTTTGGTTCTTGTAGGATGCTTTCGAAGACATCAATCCCTACTCTGACATTCCTCAATCCTCAAAAACATCTCACAGCTGAGAATTCCATACAGGATCTTGGCGTAATACTGGACAGTGGTCTGACCTTCAGCCAACACATTGAATCTCCAGCTTCTGAGCTAAGGAATAAACTTTCCATGATACGTAGGATAAAGCACCTCTTTGATAAATCTACCTTATTAACCATCATTTACTCTCTACTCTTCAGTAAATTGTTCTATTGTTCTATGGTATGGTCAGGAACAGTCTCTTTTGTGGCAAAAGGAAGTTTGATCATATTATCCCGGCAATGACACAGCTCAAGCTTCTTCCTGTAACTGACCCTCTTCACATCAGGGAGGCTACAATGATGTTTGAAATCAGGAATAACTTAGCTCCCCAGTATTTAACCGAGCTTTATCAGATTCGTTCTAAGGTCACAGATATGATACCAGGAACAAAGACAGCTTAAACCTACCCAAATGCCGCACCTCACTCACACAACAATCCTTTAGAAACTGTGGAGCAAGAGTGGGGAACACTATTCCATCTAATATCTAGTCTAGTCTCAGTGTAAGGTTATTGAAGTTTAACTTAAAGAAATATTTATTGTCCAAATTGTTAAATAGCTAGTTTATAATCATTGTCATCCTTAAGTAATATCATTGTTCTAGTAGTTGATACTTCGTAAGTCTCTACTGTATTATTGTTCATATCATGATGATAACTTATCCAGAAGATCCCCTCGGAGAGGGCTGATAAAGTCTTTGTTTGTTTGTTGGTGAAATTAGCTAGGAGGTGTGAAAAAGGTGGAACTGGTTAGGACATCTACTGAGGAGGGAGGTTGTGAATGACTGTTTTAGGGCATTGGGGTGGAAACCAAAAGGTCGAATGGGGAGAGGAAGACCAAAGAACACTTGAATAAGGTCTGTTGAAAGAGAGAAAGAAAAAGGGCAGGGTAGAAGAGCTGGAGTGTGGCCAAGGCGGAAGCACGTAATGGGGGGGAGAGGGTGAGGTGGACAATTTGACGCCCTTATGCTGATCATGACGATGAGTTACTAGAGGTGCTTTGCTGACTTGAGGTACTTAAGTTACTTTAAAGGCTTCACTTACTCCACGTGCTTTACTTTGGTTGTTTCACTTAGATGCCTCAAGTACTTGAAGGACCTTACTTGAGGTGCTGTACTTACTGAATGTGCTTTACTTTCTTGAGATCCTTCACCTACTTGAGCCGCTTTAGTTACTTGAGATGCCTCAATTACTAGACGTACTTGACTTACTACACGTGCTTTACTTACTTTAGGTACTTTACTCGCTTCAGGTACTTTACTTATTGTAGGTGCTTTTGTTACCTGAGATCCCTCACTTTTTAAGGTACTTTACTTGCTTCAGGAAGTGTATTTTATTCAGGTTCTTTATTTACTTGGGGTGTTTTCCTTTCTTCCTGTGCTTTACTCACTTGAGTTGCTTTTCCCACTTTGAGGTTCTTTCCGGTCTTTTTTCCTTCATGTGCCTTACTTCAGACTCTTTACTTACTTGAGGTGTTTGACTTTGAGAAATAGATGTAGATGTTGATTTTAATGAGGGTCCGTGCTACTTTGATTGAAGTTCTGTTGTACGTTACTGGAAGTGAACTTCAAGGTGGTCTTCTGCTGTGAATGAATTGCTACTTTTCCTTTGGAGGAATGTTTTTGGAGAAGGATCAACAGCAACTGAGTTCTTTGATGTTGCTGGTGCCAATGTTTGGCAGGGTATTTTCGGTAGTTGGCTCTTCATCAATACTAAGTAAGTCTCGTACTCCCAGACTCTCTGTTTTCTTGTTTATTATCCGCACAATAACTCACTAGGAGGACTCATAAGTGACAATAAACTCTAGACAACTCCTACTGAAACTGGCCTTTTTTTTGTTGTGTCGGGTTGTCTGATTTTGCTTGCATGTGTTCTGCTTGCAATTTTTCGACAATTCTCTGAGCAGCCGTTTGAGCCACATTTGGTCTTGGTCTTTGACTTATTCAGTTAATTTCTCTCCTCCCCTCATGAGGCTGGACAATAGTTTCAGCTGCTCCTATTTCCACGGGCAAACCAGCTGGAGTGCCTGCTCAATCTTGTGTCCTTTGTGAGAGAACATTACCCCTTTTTCCACTCCCCACGGTTCTTCTCTTGTCCAACGGCAAGTAAAATCTCTCCAACTTCAGGCATACCTCCTCTCTCCTTGTTAAGCCTGTGGCTTTCCATTAGGCCGTACATGCACTTTCTTGTCCAGCATTTCTATGCGTGGTCTTCAGCATCTTCTAGCTGCTTGGTCATCCTTGTTAGCCTCTCTGCACCTTAGCCTTCAGTGTCGTCCACTGGATACACATTTCGTCCCCACAGGATCATGTTTGGGGAAAGCTCTTCCTCCTCCCTCCTTCTGGTTGAACATACATCATGGGGGGTGAGGAATTATAGTCAGATTTCTTTCAACATCCACGAGGACTGCTTCAAACACTTCATAGGAAAGATGTGACCTTGGTAAGGTCTTGTGTAGTGTTTTCTTGATCTCCTTGATCAGTCTCTCACACATTCTTCACCACCAGGGTGACTTTGCAAGGTAAAACTTCTGACTTATGTTCTCACGTGCTAGGTAATTCTGCAGCTTGTCACCTTTCCCAACAATCTTGATTTAGTCTCTGTGACCTTAAACACTTTGGCATTATCCATGACGATGATGCAAGTCTGGTTTGATGCGTGACAAGGGCATTAAGGTTGTTCTTGAATTTGTCTGCTCTTTGGGTACTTGCAACTTCTAAATGAACTGCTCTGGAGCTGGCACAAGTGAAAATAATAACATACCACTTTCCTTCTTCTTTCTCGCCAAGCTTGTAACTGAACAGTCTGGCAAACTCTACTGTTGTCACCTCAAATGGTCTGCTGCGCTACGTTCTGTATCTTGGAAAGGCACTTGTTGACAGTACTCTGGTTAGTTTGGTAGAGAGTACTTTGCAGACATTGCACTTCTTAATGACCTTCTGGACTAGCCTCATCTTTGGTACCCACAAACTCTCTCTCCCACTTGCCATCATGGTTGCAGTGCCAAGATGCACGACCTGATTATGTGTGTGTGCAAGAATCTTCTCAGGAAGTGGTCCTCCAGGAAGCTACGTGAACCTGTATCCTTTAATTCTGCCTTCGCACTTGAGAACACCTGTATGCTCATCTTTAATTAGCTTTCATCCTGGGGACTATGGACATGCTTCATCTCCTTTGTGAAGTCTTTTCACCCCGTAGTTACGTGCAGTGATGATTTTGTCAGTCTGTAACGGACGTGACATTTTCTTTAAGTTGTTTCTCCTCACTTTGCAGTTGCTGATGAACCTTAACACCCATGCTGCTACTCACATTGTTCACCAGTAGGTACTTCTCTCAAGCAACACGTCCTGCTCATCCAGCTTGCGCTTTCGTGTGCAAAGAGCTGCCTCTTGAGTGGCCTTCCTCTCTTTATCTGTGTCTTTGGTGCTGTTCAGCCTTGGCTGCTGTGGCTACTCCATCTTGTCTAAGAGTCAATCTGGACATTCAAACCATTTTCCTCTTTCCATCTTTGCAATGGTTGCTCCTCTGCCCTCCAAGGTCTGCCAGATTTAAATCTAACGGGCAGTACTTCCAAGTGATGCTACCTGGAGCAGTGGTTTCTGCTTTCTTCAATCTGTTGGCCACGAACACCCTCTGTCCCCTACCAGCTTATCCACTACAAGGCTACCATACTGTCCATCTGAATGGTGACTTACGTGACGAGCCATCACTGGAGAGCAGTGGAAAGACTCTTTGCCATGCTCACTACCATATGACCACTCCTAAGCTCCAGTCTGGTTGTCGAAGTATTTCTCTTTGATACTCTTGACTTTGATCTTAGGAGCCTTTTGACCATGCCTGCCCTTGTGCTACGACCGCAAAAGCTGCACAACATACTTAAATGCTGGAATATGTGAAAAGATGTAAATGGACTGCCTCCACTTCTCCAATGAATGTAGCAACGCTTCTAGGTAGTCACTTCTCTAGGTTGCTTTAGCCACCTCTGCCCTTGGTCCTTCAAGGGAGTGGAGACTACTACATTCTAGCTCTTCTTCATGTCTTATCCTTCTCGATAGATAAGCTTTCCTTCAGCCACAGTGGGCGAGATTATCGCAAGTGGGCCATACAGAGTTCCTAAGTAACTAAGGATAGTCGCTTAGTCACAGGCTGCTTCTGTGGAAAGGACTTTGTAAGTAGCTCCAGTGTTTCATCATCTTTGCTCCAAGTGTGTCTAAGACTCTTGCCTGGGTTTGGCATGTTTTCACTCTTAAGAGGTTTTACATTGGATTGCCACTTATGAACTGGGAACTTAGCTGACTCAAGTATGAGAGTCCTTTCTTCTTTAAACTGCACAAGCTTCTCCTGATCTCCCCTTATTTTCATGAGATTGTCAGTGCAAGTGTTCTCCTTGAGTGCTCTCATTGTATGTTCAAATTATGGCCCTTGCTTCTCAAAGTGACGTTGCAGAGTGGCTCACGGCAAGAAGGGGCTTGCTTCAACTGCAGTCTGTACTTGGGTAGTCTTAATGCTAGTCTAATCCTTTGACATTGAACAGGAAACTGATCGAATCTCTGCCATACTCTCTAACACTTATCTGCAGAAATGCCCTCTCGATGTGTCCAAGAAGTGGATTAGTTGGCATTCACGGTCTAATAAGTCGATGCTGTTAGCCAAGGGGCGGGGCTTAACACTCGTGTCGAACACCATGCAAACCTTTGTGGTGACTGCACTTTGCTTTGGTGCCTTCTCGATTACTGCTGTTCTGATTTGCTCTTCCACAATGCCCCCACATTTCTCTTTTTTTAGCTTCTCATATCTAGAAAGTTTTCTCTTCACATTCTGAAGACACTGTGCTTCATTTCTTATTTGTCTTTGAGAATGTCACTCCAGGAATGCAAGGGGAGCTGACCTGGTACCTCCAGTCCTCTCATCACACAACACTCTCTTTGAAGTCACACAGAATGTCCAACTGATAATTTTTAGCTGGCTCCTCAACTGCCAGTACATCCAAGCTTGTACAGTTTCTCGTAGTCACTCACCTCTCTCAGGCACATGCAGGTCCTGCCACTCGCCTATTCATCTTTATCATGACCCACCCAAGCGAAAGTTGTGTCCTCTAGCAGGGGCTATCCTGCTTCCCTTTGAACAATCTCTGTCTCTATTCTGCTGTAAACACCAGCTCCAGGAATGAAATGTATCTGGTGCTCTCATGTAGATACCATGTAGAAGCTCTTGTCCTGCACATGCGAGTAGTTCCACTTCAGCTGGTTCATGTCTGGCCTTCTCACAGAAACAAAATGAGCTAATTTCGGGCCAGGGAATTTAAATTTGTTCCGAAGATCTTCCATCCAGAGACCTAATGTGGGAATCAAAGATTGGCATGGACTGGACTTTGGTTCCATTGACTGTCAAGATCTTGCGCATCTCGTGACCTATTTGGTTTAACTTTAACAAGTGGACTTGCCCCTAATGCTGACTGAAACAATTGTAGGAAGCACTCTCTTCTCCAAGTAATTAGTGTAGCCTGTTAGTGATGCTGTGTTTGGGCTGCTGCTGTTTCTCCTCTCCTGTCTATCACATATGCTGGTATGATGCCTGTATTTGCACTTTACACGACCATGCGTAAGGCATTGGTCTGCTCTGTGGTTTGAACACCTGCAATTAAAACACAGATGAAGTACTTCTTCGAGTCCACCAATGCAGTTACTCTGGTACAGTTCACACTTAAGTGATCATGTGTTTGGTACAAAGGGCAATATGGCTTCTGCTTGTCTCCTGTCTTCTGTGCGAACAGGTGCTTCAATCAAATCTTCCATGGACCATTCTTCCCAATTGTCATCCACTAGATTAGGTTTGACGCGAGACAATTCGTAATTTTTGAGCTTCCTGCAGGGTTTGAAGTGCATCATAGTTCCTGCTAAGTCTCTTATAAAATTCTTGAACCCTGAAGTAATTCAATCCTTTGACTGAGAACAAATAAGGATTTTATCCATGTTTTCATCGACAACGACCTTTGTATGCCCATGTTCCTTTTATAAGCAATCCCACATAGTCTTGTAACCAACAGTTCCAGGCTTTAGGTATGCTATTCCGTCTCTGACCTTCGGGCCAACAGAATGTAGAAGATACAGCAATTTCTCTTTGATGGAAATCAACTTGGCATCAACTTGTATATGAAACATGTTTTCAAATCTCAACTGTGTAATCCTAAATTTTGGTCATTTTGTAATGCTGGAAACAGGGTTTTTCTCTGTCTCTAATTTCTTGTCCACTACACGTAATTCTCCTGCGAGTTTTCCCTTTCCACAACTCGCACTCGTGCTCCTGTTGTCTTTTACTCAGGTGGCAGAAACGGTGCTCATCTTCCGCCCATGGCTTCAAATCTTCTCTCCCTTGTCTAGTTTCCTCTCCTCAATTACCTAAACACCCTCTCAGCCTCTCCTTGTTGCTAACCAATGCAGCACACTTGGATTTGATATCTTTCTTCCACTTGCTCACAGGTCAAATCGACATTCCCCGATCAATTTTCAACTCTTTGGCTTGGGAAACAAGGTCGGACAGCTTTGCGATAGTAGTCTCAGCTCGTTTCTTGACGATTTCCATCTTGGTACAATCCTCCAAGCAGCACTTTAGCTTGTTGATTTCCTTGTCGGCTTCTTTTATAATATAATGCTGGTCATTACTCTCTTACTTGCCTTCGCTTGTGGTTGATGGCTTGGCTTCTGACTCTCTCAGTGGCGATATAGTTTCCACAGTGATATTGGTCATGGCACCAAGGTGAGCTGTTCTTCACATCAGTATGCAAAACTCATGGATTCTTGCTTCTTTTCTTGGTTATTCTCTGCACCATACCTCACCAACAGGTGCGAAAACTTGCTATCTTTTTTTTGCATCTAGTTGTCTGATTGTGCTCAAACATCTTTGTCACCCTATTTGGTATTACCTGCAAATGTCAGAAACTGAGGTTTGCGGGGGTGAGTTGAACAAAACTGTTGTACAATGGCTGAACTGGAGTGATAGTAGACTGCCTTTCTTCTTTGGGTGTCTTGACATAGCATTTCTCCTGTGAAGCTTTTACCCTCGCTTAATCAGAGAAGGCTGACCTTGGGCACAGTTAAATGCAGATAGTTAAGCTACAAGGTTAAGCTGTAGGTCCTAAGTAGGGTTCATGCAGTTTTGATTGAAGTTATGTTGTACAGTACTAGAAGTGAACTTCATAGTTGTCTCGCACTGTGAAAAAAATGCTACTTTTCCTTCGAAGGAAAGATTTTTGCAGAAGGAACACCAGTAATTGGGTTTTTTCAATGTTACTGGTGCCAAAGATGTTTGAAGGTGATTCTTTGGGAGTTGCCCCTTGAAGACCAAGGACCACTTGAGGAAGGACTGTCAAAAGAGAGGAAACAAGGGAGGGTGGAAGAGCTGGAATGTGGCCAAGGCAGCAGCACGCAACAGGGAGCACTAGGCAGACAATGTGATGTCTTTTACACCTAATAGTGCAACAGACCATGATGACCATGAGCATGACTTACGTGAGGTAATTTACTGACCTGAGGTGCTTCAAATATTTCATGTGCTTTACTTACCTCAGCTGCTTTACTCAGATGCTTCAAGTTCTTAAAGCATCTCGGTGAAGCACCAAAAGCACCTTACTTGAGAAGCTCTGGTTACCAAATGTGCTTTACTTTCTTGAAATCCCTCACCCACTTGAGCTGCTTTACTTACTTAACTTGCTTTAGTTGCTTCAGTTGCATCCCAGGTGCCTTAGGGCTCAGGTGGCCATTTTGTAGACAAGAAAGAAAAATTATCTGAAAATTATGCAGAATTTCTCATAGTCACATTTCCATACATCTTCCTAAAAGCAGTCCTCCTGATGAAGGTTTCTGAAAGAAAAAAGTGCACTCTTTAATTCCATACTCAGATTAACAGCGCCCTCTTCCCCTCAGATAGGCACCCTTCCCCTCTCGTCGACAATACCCTGAGTTTATTTAAGTACAATTAACTATAATATTAATTATTTCTAGATTTCTGATGGAGCAAATGAAATTGGGACAGGTAGACTTGGATCTTTTGAGAATCCTTTGGGATAGAGGGTGGAAATTGTTGAATTGGAGGATTTAGACTATGAAGGGAACGACAAAGTCTGGACAGTAAGTATTGGCAATTGAAAATTGAATACAACTGGATGCTGGTCACCTTATAGAGCAAGACCTGCGGGTGGCAGGGGAGGGGTGATAGGGGAAGGGGTTTTATGACACTGTTGTGGAGATGCAGCCTCTCACAGTAATTTCTGCATTCAGATAGGATAGACTTGACCTTACTCGTGCCCTCAGACAACGGAAAAATGGGCAATGAATTACGATTTTGCATCCAGACATTTCATCAACCATTTTTCCTTATTTATTAATGGAAATAAGTACCAGTCACAGAAAGTACAGTGTGTCATTTTGTGTCCCTTACACGTGATTGATTTGGTTACACAAAGTAGAGCCATAAATCTCCATGTAAGTCCAGCCTCTTACCCTGTGGTTTTCATGGCCTTTTTTGGACAAGTCAGCTTGTGGTGCAAACAGGTCAAATAAAAAATACACTTCTTCAAGTAGGGGCGCGTGAGTTTAAAGAGGTATTTTTCTTGCTCTGAGTATCAATCACAAATGTTGCAATTATTTTTGGAATTAAGCAAATTGTGAGGCAATAATAGCTATTGACTATTGGGACCATAAACATTATGCCCTGATTTAGCCCTTTGACTCCCAAGATCTGATTGTTAATTCTCCCCCTTAGCTGCTACACATTTCCCTGTAAATTAGTTGTGAGAACGTGGTTCTCAATCAGGATAGGACCTTCTACCTGATAAGTTTGAATATTCTGATAACCTGTTTGCTAAAGAATGTATGGATATAGCATCAAAATCTAATAGCATAGTAACCTGTGTAGAAGTGTAATTGTTCTTTCTGATTTATTGGTAGACATGTAAAAGCAGTAGCAAAAATAGTACTTGTATTTTTGTGTCTCATTGGTTGCATCCATAGGTGACAGGAGACAATGTGTGCTCTTTGGTAATGAGTGATTTAAACAGCCATGGATTGACGGAGGTATTTTGTTTGCAATGTCGAAATGTCAAATTGTCTGAATAGTGGCTCTTAAGAATGTGAGCACTCTATCTAGGTCCCCAAGATTAACGAGCCTTCTCTTTATCTTGATAGGGAATAACTTTTGTGCAGGATTAAGATTACATTTGATAATTTTACAATCATTTGACCTTTGATTTTCACAGTTACTTGTTAGTTCAGAAGACTTTGACATGAGAGTGTTTAAAGATGATGAGATGATTGCAGAGAGGACTGGTACTGAGGTGAGCACATCTAGCTCTTTTGAAGAAGCTATTTTACATCCAGCTATTAAAGCCATGCTGAATTTGCTTTTGAAGCTTTTGGATCTGAAATTGAGGCCCGCAATCGGGGCTCACATTTGAGGCATTGTGCTCAGGCCTAACAGGTCAAGCACACCGAGAAGGCTTCCAGTTCATGTTTCGAGGTCAGGTTGCAAGGTCATGTCATGTTCCACGGTCATCTTCCATGGTCATGTTCCATGGTCATGTATGGCGGTAATGGTCAGAGGTCATGATCCAAGCTCATGTTTCCAGGCCATGGTCCAAGCTCATGCTTTGCTTTCATGTTCCACAGTCATGTTATGTGAGGTATCCAGTCAAGTTGCCGACGGTTCAACTCACCAATGCCAACTCGCCGACGTGTAAAATCGAGTAGAGACATTGGCGAGTTGGTCTTCAATCCAGTACAACAAATTAGAAGATAGACATATAGAAAAGGAAAAGATATTTAGTGAGAAAAGAATTTTGTTTTCTTCCGACAAATTTTATAAGGATCTCACGGCGAATAAAGCGAGGTAAACATCGCCAATGAATATAAAAGCTCCAGATGCGAACGAGTTATTGTGTGACAATAGTGTACAGACTCATCCTGTTGGTCGATCAGATTATTTTATGAAAACTTGGCTTTCTAGACAAGATCTTTAGTAAAAAACAATTACTTTTATTTCCAACAAAGTTTATAAGGATCTCAAGGCGAAGAAAGCAAGGTAAACATCGCCAATGACCGAAAAAGCTTTAGACGAGAATGAGTTATTGTGTGACAACAACAATGTAAAGACTCATCGTGTCAATCGGTCAGATTTTTACAAAAAAACTTGGCTTTCTAGACAAGATCTAAAGTACCCATGATTAACGAGCCTTCTCTTAATCTTGATAGAGACTGAAAGTTTTGTGGAAGATTAGGTTTACATTTGATAATTTTACATTCATTTGACCTTTGATTTGCACAGTTGTTGGTTAAGAAGACTTTGACATGAGAGTGTTTAAAGATGATGAGATGATTGCAGAGACAACTGGAACTGAGGTGGGCGCATCTAGCTCTTTTTTGAAGAAGCTATTCTACATCCATTTATGAATTCATACTGAATTTACTTTTCAAGCTTTCAGGTCTGAAATCGAGGACTGCAAGAGGGGTTCACATTTGAGGCATTGCACTCAGGATCTCAGTTCAAGCGCACTGTGCAGGCTTCCAGTTGATGTTACGAGTTCATGTTGCAAGGTCATGTTGCAAGGGCATTGTGTGAGGTCATGTTCCAGTTTCATGTTCTACGGTTGTGTTCCCCGGTGTTGTATTGCAGTAATGGTCCCAGGTCATGGTCAGAGGTCACATTCTGAGCTGATGTTCCCAGGCCATGGTCCAAAGTCATCCTTTGGTGTCATGTTCCACGGTCATGTGGCGTGGTCATTTACGGCAGTAATGGTCTGTGGTCATGGTCCGAGGTCATTGTCTGAGATCATGTTCCAACGCCATGGTTGAAGGTCATGCTCTGCTCTCATGTTCCATGGTCATGTTCCATGGTTATGTACAGCGGTAATGGTCCAAGGTCTTGTTGCAAGGTCATGTCCCAAGGTGATGTTCTGAGGTCATGTTCAGAGTTGCAAGAAATGGCTTGTCATGACACTGAGAGTGGCACTTTGAACATCAACTGAAAAGTTTGTGCTTTTTTTTTGCTGGCCCCGGAACACTGCTGGATGTGACACACTTCTTGCTGAAACACCCACACACTTCTTGGCCTCCAATGTGGGGAAGAATTCTAACCTGGTTTATGAAGATGTAAGTGACAGAGGGACAATACTGACCAAGGGCTTAGGTTACGATTTGGTAGACAAGAAAGAAAAACAGTAGGAAATTATGCAGAATTTCTCCTGGTCACCTTGCCATAGGTCCTCATAAAAGCACTCCTCCTGAATAAGTTTTCTGAAAATACCTTTAGGGTTGAAAAGAGTGCCCTTTCCTTTAGAAAATCAGCTTAACAGCACCCTCTTCCCCTTTGAATAGGTACTCCTTCTATCTCCTCGACCATACCTTGAGTTTATTTATGTGCAATGAACTATACTATTAAAAAAGACTGAAAGACTGCTAGTAAAATGTAAAAAGGAACTTGGTATGTTAGCCAAAAATTTTCTAGGGGAAAAAGAAGAATAGAAATGAAAAGTGCTGTATGTAGTGAAATGAAAAGGTCGGTTAGTACTAGGTGCAGTGGTATAAACATTTACAGGTGTTGAAAGTTAATTTTCATGGTGCAAGTTGCTCTCCCTGTTGATTATTTTTAGATTGCTGATGGAGCAAATGCAATTGTGAGAGGTAGACTTGGATCTATTGAGAATCTTTTGGGATTGATGGTGGAAATAGTTCTATTGGAGGATTTGGATGATGAAGGGAATGACAGATCCTGGAAAGTAAGTATTGACAAGTGTAAATTGAATTCAACAGGGTACTGGACACCTTATACTGGGACACCTGCGGGTGGTGAGGGAAGGGTGATGGGGGGAGGGGTTTTATTACATCTGTTGTGGAGATACAGCCTATCTCAGTAATTTCTGCTCTTTTCTTTCTTCTCGTGCCCCTAGACGACAGAAAAATGGGCAATGAAATATGATTTTGAGTCGAGACATTTAACGAACCAGTTTTCCTTATTTATAAATGGAAGTAGGTACTAGTCACAGAAATTGAAGTGTGTGATTTGGTGTACCTTACAAGTGTATGATTTGGCTACGCAACGTACAGCCATGAATTTCCATGCAAGTCCAGCCTCTTACCCTGTGGTTTTGATCTTTTTTGGGGGAAAAGTGAGCTTGTGGTATGAATAAGTTATATAATTAATGCACTTGTGAAAGTAGGGGGAAGTGAGTAAGCATTGCAGGTGTTGCAATTATGTTTGGGAGTGAGCATATTGTGACACAAACCATAATAGTTATTGATTATTGGGACCGTAAACATTATTCGTTGATTTAACCCTTTAATTCCCAAGATTGGATTGTTAATTCTCCCCTGCAGCTGCTACACATTTTCTTTTTAAAATTAGATATGAGAACTTGGTGCTAGATCAAGATAGCAGCTGCTACCTGATAACTTCGAATATTCTGATCTCATGTTAGGTGAAGAATGTATGGATGTTGTAGGGAGAATTTGAATGTCAGTCACTTCTGGGAGTTAAAGGGTTCAATGATATTAAAGGTGTATTTTGCATCCCAAAAGCTTATAGGATAGTAACCCGTGTAGAAGTGTAATTGTTGTTTTTCATTTTTCGGTAGACATGTAAAAGCAGAACAAAAAAATAGTAACTTTATTTTTTCCCCCCTTTGCGCTCTTTGGTAATGGGTGACTTAAACAGCCATGGATTGGCGAAGGTATTTTCTTTGCAATGTCAAATAGTCTGACTTGTGGCTCTGAAAAATGTGAGCACTCTATCTATGGCCCCATGATTAACGAGCCTTCTCTTTATCTTGATAGAGATTGTAAGTTTTGTGCAGGATTAAGTTTGCATATGATAATTTTACAATCATTTGACCTTTGATTTGCACAGTGACTTGTTGGTTCAGAAGACTTTGACATGAGAGTGTTTAAAGATGATGAGATGATTGAAGAGATAACTGGAACTGAGGTGGGCGCATCTAGCTCTTTTGAGGAAGCTATTTTACATCCAGCTATTAATTTATACTGAATTTGCTTTTGAAGCTTTCAGATCTGAAATGGAGAACTGCAATTGAGGTTCGCATTTGAGGCATTGTGTTCAGGCTTTCAGTTCAAGCACACCGTCCAGGCCTTCCGTTCATGTTCCGAAGTCATGGGGTGAGGAGTGGCTGCAAAAATATGTTTTCACTACAACGCCTTGTAGTGTTAAGGACTCTAAGACTGAGGCCTTCTGGAAAGACGTCTTGGAGACCCATTGGGGCACTGTCAGCATTTTGGACCTCATCAGTGAGCATGTCGTCATCTAAAGTTTTTTGTTGAGATTCTCCACCAACATCTACCTATGAAATTATTTAAAGCCAAATGGTAGAAATCACATGTTATTAGTGCCGAAAGTAGAGAGCTGATGTTGAAATGTGATGACTGCTGTAAGCATACCGGTATGACAATGAATCTTACTGACTGGGAGATGTGTAGGATCCTGAAAGAAGATGTGAAGTCTAACCTCTACGCAACTGAGGCAAAACATGTTCAAGAGGAAATTATCAGCAATTTGTCCACAAAAGCGTTACTACGCAAAATTGTTCCTTGTTGTCTCAACTCGCATGGTAGTTCCAACCTGCAGTACTCAAAGGATCCTTTGGAGGTTGCTAATTCTTTTAACAGGTACTTTGTTTCAGTTGGTGGAACAGCTGCAAGCAAAGGAAAGCAGCTGGCTTTTAGCCATGGCTTACCCCTTCGCCCCTTGACATCTCAAGAACCTCCCTTCTGTCCATTGACAGAGAATGACGCACGGCCTAGGTTCACCTTTCAAGGCATCTCAGATAACACAGTGTAGGACATCATCACTGGAATGCCCAACAATAAAGTCCCTGGTTAAGATAAAATTGGTGTTAATGTTATCAAAGGTGTCCTGCCACATATCCTGCATGTAATTACTGAGATATTTAACTATTTTCTCACACCTGGTTGCTTTCCAAAGGAATGGAAAGTAACGTAGGTGGTGTCTCACCCTAAACATGGTGATCATGAAGAGCCAATAACATCCACCTGATGTCATTGTTGCCAGTCTTATCTGAGGTCTGGGAACTCGTTGTCCACGACCAGTTTGTCTGCTGTTTGACCTTAAACAACAGGATGTCCATCCACCAAAGTGGCAATAAACAGCATCATTCCACTAAAACACTTGGTCTCCTTTTTACCAGTCACTTGTAAAGTGCAGTTGACGAAAAAAAAGGTGACTGGCATCTCTATGCTTGACCTAAGTAAAACATTTGATAGTACTCAACATAAGATCCTGTTGGCCAAGCTCAATACCCTCGATGTTTCCTCATAGGCCCTATCCTGGTTTGAAAGCTGCCACACAGACAGACAGCAGTTTGTGCAAATAAATAGTTCCAGATCTAACCCATTAACGGTCAGTCATGGTGTCACCCAGGGTTCAATTTTGAGGACCCTCTTATTTGATCTCTACACAAACGATTTGCAATCTGTCTGAAGCACCTGAAATGTGGAATCCTAAGTAGATGACTCCAAGCTCTAACTCTCCTTTGCAAGTAAAGACACATTAGCTGGAGTTACAGACCTCAAATCAGATCTTGTGTGGGTTGCTTCCCAGTGCTTTACCGACAAGTTACTTACTAATCCCAGTAAAACCAAGTTCTGCGTCTTTGGTTCTGGGAGGATGCTTTGAAAAAGATCTCACAGCTGAGAATTCCATACAGGAGCTTGGCGTAATACTGGACAGTGGTCGGACCTTCAGCCAACACATTGAATCTCTGAATCTCTGATAAAGTCTTAGTTTGTTTGTTGGTGAAATTAGCTAGGAGGTGTGAAAAAGGTGGAACTGGTTAGGACATCAACTCAGGAGGGAGGTTGTGAACGACTGTTTTAGGGCATTGGGGTGGAAACCAAAAGGTCGAATGCGGAGAGGAAGACCAAAGAACACCTGGACAAGGTCTGTTGAAAGAGAGCGAGAAAAAAGGCAGGGTGGAAGAGCTGGAGTGTGGCCAAGGCAGAAGCATGTAATGGGGGGCGGGTGAGGTGGACAATTTGACGCCTTTATGCTGATCATGACGATAGCTGACTTGAAGTACTTAAGTTACTTCAATGCTTCACTTACTCCATGTGCTTTACTTTGGTTGCTTCACTTAGATGCCTCAAGTACTTGAAGGACCTTACTTGAGGTGCTGTACTTACTGAATGTGCTTTACTTTCTTGAGATCCTTCACCTACTTGAGCTGCTTTAGTTTCTTGAGATATTTCAATTACTAGAGGTACTTGACTTACTAGACGTGCTTTACCTAGTTTGGATACTTTACTCGCTTCAGGTACTTTACTTATTCTAGGTGCTTTTGTTACTTGAGATCCCTCACTTTTTTATGGTACTTTACTTGCTTCAGGAAGTGTATTTTCTTCAGGTTCGTTATTTACTTGGGGTGTTTTCCTTTCTTCCTGTGCTTTACTCACTTGAGTTACTTTTCCCGCTTGAGGTTCTTTCCTGTCTTTTTTTATCCTTCATGTGCCTTACTTACTTGAGATTGTTTACTTACTTGAGGTGTTTGACTTACTTTGAGAAATAGATGTAGATGTTGATTTTAATGAGGGTCCATGGTACTTTGATTGCAGTTCTGTTGCAAATTACTGGAAGTGAACTTCAAAGTTGTCTTGTGCTGTCAATGAATTGCTACTTTTCCTTTGGAGGAATGTTTTTGGAGAAGGAACAACAGCAACTGAGTTCTTTGATGTTGCTTGTGCCAAGGATGTTTGGCAGGGCGTTTTCGGTGGTTGGCTCTTCATCAAGAGCAAGTAACTCTCCTACTCACAGGCTCTCTGTTTTCTTGTTTATTCGCACAATAACTCACTAGGAGGACTCATAAGTGACAATAAACTCTAGACAACTCTTACTGGAAACTGGCCATTTTTGTCGTGTCGGTTTGTCTGATTTTGCTCACATGTGTTCTGCTTGCAATTGTTGGCAATTCTCTGAGCAGCCCTTTGAGCCACATTTGGTGTTGGTCTTTGACTTCTCAGGTTAATTTCTCTCCTCCTCTCATGAGGCTGGACAATAGTTTCAGCCACTCCTATTTCCAAGGGACAAACTAGCTGGAGTGGCTGCTCAATGTTGTGTGCTTTGTGCAAGAACACTACCCCCTTTTTCCACTCCCCACGGTTCTTCTCTTGTCCAACGGCAAGTAAAATCTCTCAACTTCAGGCATACCTTCTCTCTCCTTGTTAAGCCTGTGGCTTTCTTCAGCATCTTCTAGTTGCTTGGTCATCCTTGTTAGCCTCTCTGCATCTAAGCCTTCAATGTCGTCCACTGGATACACATTTCGTCCCCACAGGATCATGTTTGGAGAAAGCTCTTCTTCCTCCCTCCTGTTCAACAAACATGGGGGGGGGGGTGTGAGGAATTAGTCAGATTTCTTTAAACATCCACGAGGACTGCTTCAAACACTTCATAGGAAAGATGTGACCTCTGTAAGGTCTTGTGTAGTTTTTTCTTGATCTCCTTGATCAGTCTCTCACACATTCCTCCCCACCAGGGTGACTTTGCGAGGTAAAACGTCCCACTTATCTTCTCACGTGCTAGGTGATTCTGCAGCTTGTCACTTTTCCCAACAATCTTGATTCAGTCTGCTGTGACCTTAAACACTTTGGTATTATCCATGACGATGATGCAAGTCTGGTTTGATGCATGATGAAGGCATTAAGCTTGTTCTTGAATTTGTCTGCTCGTTGGGTACTTGCAATTTCTAAATGGACTGCTCTGGAGCTGGCACAGGTGAAAATAATAACATACCACTTTCCTTCTTCTTTCTTGCCAAGCTTGTAACTGAACAGTCTGGCAAACTCTACTGCGGTCACCTCAAATGGTCTGCTGCGCTACGTTCTGTATTCTGGAAAGGCACTTGTTGACAGTACTCTGGTTGGTTTGGTAGAGAGTACTTTGCAGACATTGCACTTCTTAATGACCTTCTGGACTTTAGCTCTCAACTTTGGTACGCACAAACTCTCTCTCGCACTTGCCATCGTGGTTGCTGTGGCAAGATGCATGACCTGATTGTGTGTGTGTGCGTGCAACAAGCTTCTCAGGAAGTGGTCCTCCAGGAAGGTACGTCTATACGTACGTATATCTAGAAAGTTTTCTCTTCACATTCTGAAGACACTGTGCTTCATTTCTTATTTGTCTTTGAGAATGTCACTCCAGGAATGCAAGGGGAGCTGACCTGGTACCTCCAGTCCTCTCGTCTCACAACACTCTCTTAGAAGTCACACAGAATGTCCAACTGATCATTTTCAGCTCGCTCCTCAACTGCCAGTACATCCAAGCTTGTACAGTTTCTCGTAGTCACTCACCTCTCTCAGGCACATGCAGGTCCTGCCACTCGCATATTCATCTTTACCATGACCCACCCAAGCGAAAGTTGTGTCCTCTAAGAGCGGCTTTCCTGCTTCCCTTTAAACAATCTCTGTCTTTTTTCTGCTGTGAACACCAGCTCCAGGAATGAAATGTATCTGGGGCTCTCGTGTAGATACCATGTAGAAGCTCTTGTCCTGCACATGCGAGTACTTCCACTTCAGCTGTTTCATGTCTGGCCTTCTCACAGTAACAAAATCAGCTAACTTCGAGCCAACGAATTTAAATTTGTTCCGAAGATCTTCCATCCAGAGACCTAATGTGGGAATCAAAGATTGGCATGGACCGGACTTTGGTTCCATTGACTGTAAAGATCTTGCGCATCTCGTGACCTATTTGCTTTAACTTTAACAACTCGACTGTTTCGGGTAAGATGAAGTTGTGCCCATAAGAACTTGCCCTTCAATTCTGACTGGAACAGTTGTAGGAAGCACTGCCTCCTCCAAGTAATAAGTGTAGCCTGTCAGTGATGCTGTGTTTGGGCTGCTGCTGTTTCTCCCCTCCTGTCTTTCACATATGCTGGTATGATGCCTGTATTTGCACTATACACGACCATGCATAAGGCATTGGTCTGCTCTGTGGTTTGAACACCTGCAATCAAAACAAAGATGAAGAACTTCTTCGAGTCCACCAATGCAGTTACTATGGTACAGTTCACACTTAAGTGATCATGTGTTTTGGTACAAAGGGCAACATGGCTTCTGCTTGTCTCCTGTCTTCTGTGCGAACAGGTGCTTCAATCAAATCTTCCATGGACCATTCTTCCTAATTGTCATTTACTAGATCAGGTTTGACGCGAGACAATTCGTAACTTTTGAGCTTCCTGCAGGGTTTGAAGTGCATCATAGTTCCTGCTAAGTCTCTTGTAAAATTCTTGAACCCTGAAGTAATGCAATCCTTTGACTGAGAACAAATAAAGATTTTATCCATGTTTTCATCGACAACGACCTTTGTATGCCCAGGTTCCTTTTATAGCCAATCCCACACAGTCCTGTAACCAACAGTTTCAGGCTTTAGGTATGCTATTCCCTCTCTGACCTTCAGGGCCAACAGAATGTAGAAGATACAGCAATTTCTCTTTGATGGAAATCAACTTGGCTTCAACTTGCATAAGAAACATGTTTTCAAATCTCAACTGTGTAATCTTCAATTTTGGTCATTTTGTAGTGCTGGAAACAGGGTTTTTCTCCGTCTCTAATTTCTTGTCCACTACACGTAATTCTCCTGCGAGTTTTCCCTTCCGCAACTTGCACTCGTGCTCCTCTTGTCTTTTACTCAGCTGGCATAAATGGTGCTCGTCTTCCACCCATTGCTTCAAATCTTCTCTCCCTCATCTAGTTTCCTCGCCTCGATTACCTAGAGACCCTCTCAGCCTCTCCTTGTTGCTAACCAATGCAGCGCACTTGGATTTGATATCTTTCTTCCACTTGCTCGCAGGTCAAATCGACAATCCCCAATCAATTTTCAACTCTTTGGCTAGGGAAGCAAGGTCAGACAGCTTTGGGATAGTGTTCTCAGCTCGTTTCTTGACGATTTCCATCTCAGTATAATCCTCCAAGCAGCACTTTAGCTTATTGATTTCCTTGTTGGCCTCTTTTATAATATAATGCTGGTCATTACTCTCTTTCTTCCCTTCGCTCGTGGTTGATGGCTTGGCTTCTGAATCTCTCAGTGGCGATATAGTTTCCACAGTGATCCTGGTCATGGCACCAAAGTGAGCTGTTCTTCACATCAGTATGCAAAACTCATGGATTCTTGCTTCTTTTCTCGTTTATTCTCTGCACCATAACTCACCAAGAGGTGAGAAAACTTGCTATCTTTTTTGCATCCAGTCATCTGATTGCGCTCGAACATGTTTGTTTACTATTTGGTAGTACCCGCAAATGTCAGAAACTGAGGGTGGTGGGGGTCAGTTGAACAAAACTGTTGTAGAATGGCTGAACTGGACTGACAGTACACTGCCTTTCTTCTTTGGGTGTCTTGATATAGCATTTATCCTGTGAAGCTTTAACCCTCGCTTAATCAGAGAAGGCTGACTCTGGGCACAGTTACAATGCAGATAGTTAAGCTACAAGGTTAAGCTGTAGGTCTTAAGAAGGGTTCATGCAACAAACAAAATGCTACTTTTCCTTTGAAGGAAAGGTTTTTGCAGAAGGAACACCGGTAATTGGGTTTTTTCAATGTTGCTGGAGCCAAAGATGTTTGAAGGTGATTTTTTGGGAGTTGGCCCTTCAAGACCAAAGACCACTTGGAGAAGGACTGTCGAAAGAGAGGAAACAAGGGAGGGTGGGAGAGCTGGAATGTGGCCAAGACAGCAGCACGCGACAGAGAGCACTAGGTGGACAATGTGATGTCTTTTACACCTACTAGTGCAGCAGACCATGATGACCATGAGCATGACTTACGTGAGGTAATTTACTGTCCTGAGGTGCTTCAAATATTTCATGTGCTTTACTTACCTCAGCTGCTTCACTTAGATGCTTCAAGTTCTTAAAGCATCTCGGTGAAACACCAAAAGCTCCTCACTTAAGAAGCTCTGGTTACCAAATGTGCTTTACTTTCTTGAGATCCCTCACCTACTTGAGCTGCTTTACTTATGAAACTTGCTTTAGTTGCTTCAGATGTATCACAGGTGCTTTACTGCCTCAGGGCTCAGTGGCCATTTTGTCGACAAGAAAGAAAAATATCCGAAAATTATGCAGAATTTCTCATAGTCACATTTCCATACATTTTCCTAAAAGCAGTCCTCCTGATTAAGGTTTCTGAAAGAAAAAAAAAAGCGCCCTTTAATTCAATATTCAGATTAACAGCGCCCTCTTCCCCTCAGATAGGAACCCTTCCCTCTCCTCGACCATACCCTGAGTTTATTTAAGTACAATTAACTATAATACTATTAATTATTTCGAGATTTCTGATGGAGCAATGTAATTGTGACAGGTAGACTAGGAGCGAGTGAGTTTGAAGAGGTATTTTTCTTGCTCTGAGTATCAATCAGAAATGTTGCCATTATTTTTGGAATTGAGCAAATTTTTAGGCAAACCATAATAGTTATTGATTATTGGGACCATAAATATTATGC